CCCTGCTGGGAGCCGCACAATATGTGCGAAAGGAGCTGCATGCGGCTCCCAAGCCGCAGTTTGGCCACCCCTGATCTAAGACTTGGTGGAAGTTGTGCAGAACTCCATCAAGAACAAAATACAGGCAAAATGGAATCTGGGTTGCAATGCTCCCTCTAAGCTGTGGAGTCTTGTGAGCAAAAATTCTACTTTGTGACTCACTGGCATTAAAGTTGTGAGCGAGTGATTTGGCTACTGCATACATTAGTTTGCTCTGGAGCCCTCCTTCCTGAGCTGAGACAAAAATGTGTGAGCCAGAGGCTAAAAAACTGTGAGCTAGCTCACACTAACTCAGCTTAGAGGGAACACTGGTTGCAACCTTAGCTAAGACTCACTTAGGAGTAAGACCGGTTTAATGGAGTAGGGCTGACTTCCAAGTAAACATTAGCCACATAGCCAGTTTTGGAACATGCAGAATGTTAGGATTTTCTGCTCAGTGCATATGCATACACACAGCACAACGTATGTCTGCACGAATGTCAGAAATGCTCATGTACATCCAGGTGGCATACTAGTTCTTGACACACATGGCTTTCTGCGTGGGAATCTCCTGAAGAAGCTGCTCAAAGCCAGGGCTGGCTTTCTGGCCAACCCATGCAAGCAATGGCTTAGGGCAGCCCCGTGACTGACTGATTTCTTGGCTTGCCCGTTCTGGGTTGGGGAATACTTGGGATATTTGGGGGCGGAGCCTGAAGAGGGCAGGGCTTGGGGAGGGGAGGGACCTCAGCAGGGTACGATGCCACAGAGTCCACCCTCCCAAACAGCCATTTTCTCCAGGGGAGCTGATCTCTGTTGCCTACAGGTCAGATGTAATCCCAGGAGATCTCCAGACCCCACCTGGAGGCTGGAAACCCAATTCCCCTCCCCAAATACTGTCCTCCTGGGGCTGCTGGCTCTGGGGAGGGAAATACCTGGAGATTTTGGGGGTGGGTGAGGTTTAGAAGAAGAGAAGAGATTGGATTTATACCCCGCCCTTCACTACCTGAAGAAGTCTCAGAGCTGCTTACAATCTCCTTTCCTTTCCCCTTCCCACAACAGACACCTTGTGAGGTAGGTGGGGCTGAGAGAGAGCACTGCTGACAACTACTCATGAGAGAACAGCCCTGGAATAACTTGTAACTGACCCAAGGTCACACCAGCAGCTGCGTGTGGAGGAGTGGGGAATCAAACCTGGTTCTCCACGCTCCTAACCACTACACCAAGCTGGAGGGGAGGGACCTCAGCAGGGCATAATGCCATCGAGTCCACCCTCCCAAGCAGCCATTTCCTCCAGAGGAACTGAACTTTATTGTCTGGAAATCAGTCGTAATAGTGGGAGATCTCCAGGCCCCACCTGGAGGCTGGCAACTCTGTGCCCTCCCCAGGCTCCACCTCCAAATATCCAGGAATTTCCCTTCTCCTTGGTCTCACATCCAATCAGACACTTCCAAGAATAGTCCTCCTTTGCTGAAGAACCATAGAGGGCCGTGGCGGCAAGGAAGTTGTCACTGTATTATACCAACTGCATCTGCCCAACAGCAAGGGAATGGCGCACACGGGCCAGGCAAGAACGTATAAAAACAGCATAGCGACAAGAAATAGGTTGTCAAATCCCCTCCATCCCCCCCCCATCCTTCAAGAGAATCAGGTTAGTTGAAAGAGAATTTTTCATTAGGCAGTGTCTGGGTTCTTGCTGAACTGCTAAGCCAGCGACGCAGTCATAAAACGGGAGGAGTTAATTGAAAACGGTTCTCCTCATGTGAAGAAAGCAGCGCTGGGGGAGCCGGGCCTCTTTCCCCGGTGATTTGATTGGGCTTCTGTCACATCTAATATACATTATGGTCTTGCTACTCGCTTTCCCTTTTCTCCCACAATCAGGGGAAGGCACTCTATTGTTCTCGATTTGTTTTTAATCGTTGCAGTCGTCAAGCGGGCGATAACTTTACAGCTCCATCTATCAAGAGGTTGTTTTTTTTTTAATAGAAATTACAAAGCTGCGAGGAAGAAGAGAAAACATTTGGAGAAAAAGCAGTTCTAGGCATTAGCTGGCACATTCTTATGCAAGTCTCCCCTCTGCTGCGGAAGCTCGCTGGGTGACCTTGGGCTGATCACACGCTCTCGGTCTAACCTATCTCACAGGGGGGTTGTCGAAATGAAATGGGGTAGGAAGGGGTGGAAATACCCCCTTTCTCAGCCTTAGAACTCCGTTGCTTCTTCGACCTTCCTCCCCCTCTGTGTCCAGAGGAACCTCACTCACATTTAAAGAATGGCTGCTGCAAAGGGGCGTTAGTCCAGTCCCGTAGTGGACTCCAGTTTTGAAAGGAATGTGTGGAAACAGAACAAAAACAGTGGCTGAGAGATCTTTGCATGCAGCGGCACACGAAAAAGATTCCCGTGCGCGTTACCACGGATTGTGGTCAACAAGAACAAATCCCCCGTTGTGGAATGGAGAGGGAGCTGTGCATTGTGTTCCGTGCAGCAGGTGACTGGTACAGTCAGAGCTACCTGTACCAAACATTTGATAAGGCGGTGGTTTTCCAGTGGTGGGGAATCCTGAGATGACTTATTAGAAGTCTTGCCAGGGGCTCCATTGGGAGATCAGTATTAGTGGACCGTCGTTGCGGAAAAACAACTTCCTTTGCCACACGCAGCTATCAGAGAGAGCAGTTCTTTCAAGGAGACACGGCAATCCAATGGGCTTGACCTATGCCCTCCGAGAACAGAGTGTGCCTCATGACCCACAATCCTTTGCAATGCGCAGTGGTCTGTCAGGCGACAAATGGAAGCCCGGAAGTGGCAGGAGGGAACGATGCACATCCAGCCTCCAGCAGGCATTTTGCACCAAATGAGAGCTCCAATTTCACCTTTCAGGCCTTACCTTGCCAACTGCTGGTCCCAGTCATGCCTATAGTTGCCAACCTCCAGTCTGGAATGACAACTGGTCTCCAGACTACAGCAGGGCCATAAGAACATAAGAGAAGCCATGTTGGATCAGGCCAGTGGTCCATCCAGTCCAGCAGTCTGTGTCACACAGTGGCCAAACCCCAGGTATCAGGAAGTCCACCAGCAGGGCCAGAACTCCAGAAGCCCTCCCACTGTTGCCCCCCAAGCACCAAGAATACAGAGCATCACTGCCCCAAACACGGTGTTTCCTCTATACCTTCTGGCTAGTAGCCACTGATGGACCTCCATATATTTATGTAATCCAAACTTGGAGTTGTTTTGTTTTTTCATAAGATCATGCTGGATCAGGTCAAGCACCCACCTCATCCAGCAACGGGGACCCTCATTCTCCTCTCCTCCATGTTATTCTCACAACAGCCCTGTAAGGTAGGCTAGGCTGAGTGTGTGTAACTGGCCCAAGGTCACCCTTTGAGTTTCATCGCAAAGGTTGGGATCTGAACCCAGACCCACATGGTCTGACTCTCTAAACACTGCACTGCATTGGTTCTCTTGAGCCTGCAGTGTTTAGAGTGTCAGACCAGGTGCGTCTGGGTTCAGATCCCACATCCAGAGAAAGTGATGGGTGGATCCTGCACTCATGAAAGTCTGGATGTGGCACAACCTCATAATACCCTTCCCACTCTATACATTCAAATCGCATGAATCGTGAAAACAAAACTGCTATTTCTGAAGTCAGCACCCATCAAGGGCTGTTTTCCCTGCATGCTTGGGATTTTGAAAGGAATCATGGGTTATTTAGGGTTGCCAGGCTCCAGGTGGCACTCATAAGAACATAAGAGACGCCAGTGCTGGATCAGGCCAGTGGCCCATCCAGTCCAACACTCTGTGTCACACAGTGGCCAAAAATACCAGATGCCAACAGGAGGTCCACCCGTGGGGCCAGGACACTAGAAGCCCTCCCACTGTCCCCCACACCACCCCAAGGACCAAGAATACAGAGCATCACTTGCCCCAGACTGAGAGTTCCTGTCTATGTTGTTGTTGTTCAGTCGCACATTCGAGTCTGACTCTTCGCGACCCCATGGACCACATCACACCAGGCCCTCCTGTCTTCTGTCGTGCTCCGGAGTTTTCTTAATTTCATGTTCGTTGCCTCGATAACACTGTCTAACCATCTCATCCTTTGCCTCCCCCTTCTTCTTTGACCTTCAATCTTTCCCAGCATCAGGGTCTTCTCCAGTGAGTGCTGTCTATACTTTGTGGCTAATAGCCACTGATGGACCTCTGCTCCATATGTTTATCCAATTCCCTCTTGAAGCCGTCCATGCTTGTAGCCGCCACCACCTCCTGTGGCAGTGAATTCCATGTGTTAATCACTCTTTGCGTGAAGAACTTCCTTTTATCTGTTCTAACCTGACTACTCAGCAATTTCATGGAGTGCCATCACTCAGCCATCTCCCAGAATTTCAATGGAGCCTATTTAGTTTACACCAGAAACAAAATATTGAGCAGAGGGAGAAGGAGGCTTCCCTTCATGTAGGTACAGAGGACGAAGCAAGAGGAAAACACAGTCTTTGGGATGCCATCCTCCAGGTGGGACCTGGGGATCTCCCGGAGTTACAGCTCATCTCCAGACTACAGAGATCAGCTCACCTGGAGAAAAGGGCTGCGTTGGAGGGTGGACTGCATGGCGTTATTTGTTGTTGTTCAGTCGCACAGTCGAGTCTGACTCTTCGCGACCCCATGGATCATCTCCTGCCAGGCCCTCCTGTCTTCCGCCGTCCTCTGAAGTTTGCTCAACTTCATGTTCGTTGCATCTATGACACTGTCTAACCATCTCATCCTTTGCCGACCCCGTCTTCTTTGACCTTCAATCTTTCCCAGCATCAGGGTCTTCTCCATGGCGTTATACCCTCCGTTTTAGCCTCACAACAGCCCTGTAAGGTAGGCTAGGCCGAGTGTGTGTGACTGGATCCGCGGGAACCCCCGGCGCCGCGGCGGAGGCAGAGGCGGGCACTCGGGAAGCCAGAGCGGCTCGCGGTCGCCGCCGCCGCTGCACTTTGTTAACACGGCGCGGGCGGCGGCGGCGGCGCTGCTTCCTCGCCCTCCTTTGCCGTGGGCTGCTGGGTCCTGCGCGGGTCGGGCGGCGCGCCGAGGCCGGGGCTGGCGGGACCTCTCGGGGCTCGGTTTTCTCCTCTGCCGGGGCAAGGCGGGAAAGAGGAAGAAGAGGCCGGCGAAGGTAAGAGCCGCACAAAGGCAGCCTGGCAAGGGGGCGGGAGGGATCGCCGCCGCCGCCGCCGCCGCTCCCGCGTGCACACGACCCCGTTCTCGATCGGCGGCCTCGGTTGTGGCGAGAAGGGGAAGGCGACGCGTGTCTAGCAACCCCACGCCCTTCGCGGTCGGGGGAAATCCGCCTGGCTCTGCGTTTGGGAGCCCGGCTTCTACTGACTGAAAAATCTGCCCCACTCCCGTTTTTGTGACCAAATGTTAGACGACGCGTGTGTTGGGTGAAGAAACGAGTACCCGAATGTAACGTGTGAAACGGGGCGCAGTGGCTGGCGGGGATAACTTGAGTGGGAATTTATGGAGAGAGGGGGACATGCTTCTCTGTGTGCCACCCCCTCACCTGTCGAACACCAATGCGTCTCTAGGTGTGCTGCTCTCTGTCCCCCCCCCCCTTTCCTCCCTGTCCCCTGAGCGCTTGGCGACCACACCTGTTCTCTAGCTTGTCCACGGGGCTTCTCTCGGCTCGGAAAGGCTCGCTTTTTCTACAGCCAGGTGTAAGTGTGCGTGTAGTGTGTACGCCCCCCCCCCATGTCTTAAAGTGTATTTTTTAAAAAACGCTGCTCGGTTATCTACCTAAGAGTAAAGAATGCCTCGTGCTAACCTGTGTTTTCTCTCTGTTACTATGCTACGCACACCCCTTCCCCTTTCAGTCCCTGGCATGTCTTCTGGGTTTGTTTAGGAATCACAAGACTAGCAGCTCCCCCATTCAGAGCCTCACCCAAGATGGTAGCCTTGGGATTTCTCTTTTCTCCTACAGTTCCTCCCAATCTTACAGGTGAAATGTGTTTCTTCCAATTTGCACCTGGGGGGTGTGGGTGCCTGCTGCGAATACAAAGAGATGTTGTATACTTGGGACTAATCCAGGTGATAAAAGTGTGCAGGTAGAGTTAGTTGCCCCCCAAAAAAAATGTTGGACCCCATTGCAGTGTTTCATCTGTTTGTTTGCTGAGCTATTGCTGTGTGTGTGTGTGAAGTACCATCGTATTGCAGCTTACTTATGATGACCCCTGTAGGGGTTCCAATGCAAGAGATGAACAGAGGTTCATTGCCTGCCTCCGAGCTGCAGTTCCACCCCTGATAATACTGGCAAAAGCATTATGTCCCTTTCAGCCTCCCTTTTCTGTTGTTTCTCATTTCCCCCCCCCCTCACCTTTTGCACCGATTCTCTGCCCCTCCCTTGTCTAGTTTTACTCATGGACTCAAAGCTGGTCACTTGGCCAAGGTTTCAGCCATTGGAGCAGATACTCTGGTTTTTGTGGTGGACACAGCTGAGGTGTAGCAATTGAAGCCGCTCAGGGGAAAACCCACAAGAGCATTTCTGTGGCAGGCTGGATTAGATAAGGTTAGCTGGTTGCTTTTAGGGTGTGAGGAATTCTGGAGACGAGCATATAACTAGATGCCTATTGGTAAATATGCCGTGGGGCGTCAATTTTCTTCCCATGTTAATTCATTCTGTTGGTTTCTCCCCGTTCAGTAGATCAACAGATAATGTCTTCGGCCTTGGCTATATTTACATGTGTGACCAGCAGTGAGCGTGGATGTTAATTAATTGACTTGCACATGAGACCCAGGGTTCATTAGGGAGATACATCAGACGGCGGGAGCATGTGAAATACTTCAAATCCTAACAAGTAATTTTCAGTGGGGTGTGGGTGTCTAGCTTCTAGCAGCTCGGTATTGGCTTTGAGGCCAATGTTTTGGAGATTGTGGGAGTCTTCTCTCACTATTACCTGAGACAGGTGAGACGTAGGTGTTCTGTGGGAGCTTCCATCTGCATCCAGGCTCTTCTCTGGTCGCCACTTATCTTGAGAAGAGCAGTTCTGGTGGTGAGTATTTTTGCTGCACCACTGTTGGTTCAGCTGCTGTCTTGGGGGTTAGCAAGAGCCAGACTACATTCAGAGGAAGAGGTCAGCAGAGAGCCAATATAAGAAAGCCCATTTGCATACCTCAGAATACACCTTACTGATAATTGACATGTAGATCTATAAAGTTTCCACAGCCCAAATGCTGGTAGTTGTAAGTTCTTTATTAGTTAGTGGCGCGCATGAGGTTTCACAATAAGTAATAATATACAAGGCACACCTTACACAGCTATTTTCATGGAATGGTATAAATCTGCATAGTTTGTGTTTGGGATTATTAAGAACATAAACCCTGCTGGATCAGACCAGTGGTCCCTCTATTCCAGCATCCTGTCTCACACAGTGGCCAACTAGTTCCTCTGGAGGGCCAGCAACAGGGCATAGAGGCCGAGGCCTTCCCCTGATGTTGCCTTCCAGCTCTGGGATTCAGAGGATTAGTGCCTCTGAACGTGGAGGTTCCCCTCAGTTACCAAGGCTAGTAGCCCCTGGCAGACCTCCATGAATCTGTCTATTCTCCTTTTAACACCATCTATGCCTGTGGCCATCATGATGTCCTCTGGCAGCAAATTCCACAGTTTAATCACCCCATGCATAATTTTATAAACCTCTATTATGATGCACCTCCTTAATCTCCCCCCCCC